AAAAAAAAAAAGTCAGCTATGTGGTGAGGGGGTGGGGGCAAACCCAGAAGAAAGCTAGAAGTTTATAAATTCAATATATCTGGACCAGAGTAAACAAACTATAAGTGTGAAAACATCCTTAGTCTAGAATTACTCTCTCTTCTAACTGGCACCCAACCTGTAGGGTATAAGCACAATATTCAACGTCACACCTTCGACTTCCAGCTTCAAAATCATGACCCTACCTGACAATCCAGATCCACAACAGTATTCTCACACACTTCTGTTAAGATTATACCTACTCTTATCTCTCATCACATAATATATCACATCAAGAATAGCTTGAATCCACCTCCGATGCATCTGGCCTTGCTTGTCTTCAACCTGGTCTCCTGCACACACACACACACAATTCATCCATCTTCCCATTACATCAGCCAGATCTCTCCTAATACCAGTAATCCTGGTATAAATTTTTTATGTGACAAAAATATCATAGCAATCTATACTCTACCAATGCCATCTGTTTACATTCCTTTGCACATACACAAGACAAGCCTGGGCATGTCTGACAAGTCAGTCAGCCTCAAATTACAATTTAATACCTTTATTAAAAAATGAATATATTTTTAAAAAAATGAGGTGGGGTGGGGCAGGGCCTATTTTAGCAACCTCTAAAAAGCAAAAAGTAAACAAATGACTCAACCATACATCTTAGATGAAGTCCATATGACAGAAAAAACAAACAGTGGTTCAGAAACAATGTGGTACATAGTGGGAAAGTGAGGCTTTAAGCAACTGGTTAAAAATGTATTATGACCATCTGCTAATGTATCTAGAGTGGATAATGTCCTACAGTTCGATCGCCTCATCTTCCCACTGTACAGTCAACAGAAATAGATGTAGCAGGATTCTGAGAAAGAAAAACAAAAAGGAAAGGAGGAGGAGTAAGTACAGCGTAGTGTTCTATGCTAATGACAGCTAATGGTAACTGTCATTTCATAGCTACTAAAGTTGGGAAAAAGAGACTTACACTACATTTGCCCATTGATAATTAATTTAGCAATTGAGGTCACGCCCAAACAGACACCATTATCATGGTCCAGATCAGTTGAGGTACTTGGTTTTGGGTTAAGAAGTGAATGTACATAGTGTAGTTATTTCTTTGGCTAGATGAAGCACCAAACTCCACTGGGAAACGCCCAGAGATTCAATTTAATTTCAATGCAATTTTATTTATATAGTACCAAATGATGGAAAATGTATGCTATGCCATCTAATGCTAAGGGGAAGCATGCATAATTTAAGTTTAATTAGTCCTAACACAGAATCTTGTGGAACTCCTTCAATAACCTAAGTGTGGAAGAGGACTCTCCATTTACATGAACAAATTGGAGTCTATTAGGTAGATGTGATTCAAACCACTACAGTGCAGTATCTTTAATACCTATAGCATGCTCTAATTACTGCAATAAAATAACAGTCAACCGTATGAAATGCTGCACTGAGGTCTAGCAGGACAAGCACAGAGATGAGCCCACTGTCACATGCAAAAAGAAAATAATTTGGAACCTTCACTAATATGGTTTCTGTAGTGTGATGAGCTCTGAAACCTGACTGAAACTCTTCAAATAAACCATTCCCCTGCAAGTGATCAGTTAGCCGTTTTGCAACAACACTTTCAAGAATTTTTTTTTAGATAAAAAGGAAGGTTGGAAATTAGCTTTCTCTGAAAGGTAGATTGGCTCTCTCTAGATTATAATGTTTAATGTTGATAATGCGTGATGCATGCACAGTTAAGCTGCATGATCCATTATTGAACAATACGATAAAATGGTTCAAAATGCTTTTATTAGTTATTGACATTTTCCATTAAAGGATTCTCAAAGTTAAC